TATTTTTCTTCAAGAAAATCACAGTTTTTCTAAGAAATATGTTGCTGCTAAAATCTACGGGTATCCAAAATTTTAAAAAAAACACCATTCAATTTTTTAAAATAAACATTAAGACTAACGAGCCAAACTGTATTTCCTTCTACAATTCGTAATTGTTCAAAATATCTGTACGGTGAGTTCGGGAAAAAAAAGAAACGAAATAAAAGGTTCTAAGAACAACTCACTACAGCTAATTATTGTCACTCAATTTTCGAATACTTTATCTGTCACCAATTGTTCTACCGTTCAAATTTTAATAGTTATTCTTCAAAAATACTTTACTTTATTAAAGGCTAAACTTTTAAATAATTCTCTCTAGACCTTACTTTTAAAAAAATAATTCGTAATTCCTCTGAAAATTATTTGCTTTTTAAATCTCTTTCTTGAAGATCTGAGACAAAAAGTTTTGTTCTTTATTTCGGAGACGGTGCTGAAGTACTAAAACAGCTTTGATGTAAATTCAGGGTCTTAATAATATGTTGCATAACCGACGTTTTATGCAAAACAAAAAGACACTACTGTTACGCTACGTCTAATATCTAACAAAAGTTCTTGATTGTTGTCTGAATTAGAATAATTCAGATTTTTGGCAGAAAGCCCAGAAGCTCTTATTGCTGGAGACGACAACTGGCTTCGGAACTGGACATTTTACCCCATGGGAGCGGTATGCGTTAGACATTCTACGTCAAGCAGTTCGAGTTATACATTTAATTGATATTAACCGCAGGAATTTTGCAGGGTAGAAACTGTTGCAGCGACTACGTCATATCGTTCCATCATGTTAGCCCAAATACAATGCTTATTCTCGACTACCTGGTGTACCATGTTCGGATACCTGGTGCATATTTAAAACATTTTGATTTTTTTACTGTCAGAAGTAACAGTCTGATGACTTTCTTCTGCAGAATAGTTGACAGTTCTAAAATTTCAAGCACTATTATCTTAAAAAAAGTATTTTTTT